CCGTTCTATGATTCTATGATTCTACGATTTCACATGCTGGCTTGATCCTGCCATCTGCTCATGCTTTGCTGTTTGCGGTTGCAGACGTATTTGGCTGGGCCTCCTTTCTGAGGGCTTTTTGCAATCATTTCACAATCCCCTGACACCGCGACCAGCACAACAAGGAGTCCTGCAGGAAGCAGGGCCAGCCTTGCAGGGCTGGATGCAGTGTGTCCCCAGCAAACCCAGGGCTGCCTCCAGCCCTCCCACGGCAGCCCCGGCTGACTCCCAGAGTGTGGGTGTCAGTTCCCAGGCTCTCAGCAAAGCCCAGGCCAGAGCACAGCCTCATTAATAACTTGGTTTAATGCTGCTTTCCCAAAGCTGCTGGGAGCACTGAGCCCCTTCTTTGAGCAAGTGGTGTTTGTCCAGTGAGTTTTGGAGCCAGAGGCAAAAGCTCTCCTGGCAGCAAAAGACAACACACACAAAACTGGTTTGTGCCCCTGTGTTTGCTGGTGTCTCAGGACCCCTTGGTGGGGACGGATAAGCAAACAGGACAGCTCCACCTTGCTGGGCAGCTGCAAGAAGAGGGGACTTGCGTGGTCCCTCTCCTGTCAGCCAGCAACTCCCACCCCTGCAGCCGAGGGATGCATCACCCAGGGAGGCTGCAAAAGCCAGAACCTGGGGGATGATTTTGCTTGGGGCAGGAGAGCAGCCCTGCATGCAGCCCCTCCCACCCTTCTGAAGCCCATCACAACAGCCAGAAGAAGTGAGTTTGGTTGTAAAGGATATATTTTATTGCTTCGCATCCTGTCCAAAAGCCAGTCTGGCTCACAGCCGCATGCTCCAACGTGGAGTTGGGAGCAGCACAGAGCCCGCTCAGCACCTGTCCTGTGCTGGGGGCCAGTACGTTGGACTTCACAGTTTCTTTACACAGCCTTAAAATAATAGACCTTAATGCCTGCCTAATAAGCAATCAAGCCAGATAAATGTGCTTGATAGAAACACTCAGCTACAAGCTTTACTCCAGCCAACACACAGCCTTGCTGATAATGTTAAGCCCCACAAATCCTATTATTGCATTTATATGACTTAATAGACCTTTACTGACCAAAGTCCACGTCTGAAGTCTCTGCAAGCAGATAGCACTGCAGCTGTGGTACAGCCCTGCAGCTTGCTCCTTCTCGGCATGCTGGGGGGAGTTTGCAAGCACAGGGGAGATGCCATTTCCCTGCCAGCCCTGTCCCAAAGGTCTGTCCCTCCTCTACTTGCAGTCTCACCTTATGGTGTCCTCGGGTTAGTGACCTCTCGTTTTACTAAAAGTTTGTAATAGAGCTGCTCTCAAATGGCTGCAGCGTGACTGCGATGAATTTTGCAAAATATTTTATTCCCCCACCTGCACAGCCTCACATGCAGTTTTCACCATGTGGGCTTTTCAAATTTGGGGAGAATGTATATGAGAGGTTTTTTTGTTTTGTTTTGTTTTGTTTTTCAAAAAAAGTAAGCATTTGGCTTAATAATGTCCAAATCTCTGACAACAGCAAAACCAAGAGAGATAAAAGGGGAAAATTCCACTAAAAAGAACATTTTTTTTCTGATTTAATTGCAATTTTGTACCTAAAAAAGAAAAACAAAATCAAAGGGACAGATTCTGACTATCCTTCTCTGAACTACACTGCAGCAGTGTTCTGCAAAAGCTAAAAGAAGAGCCTAGAACAGCCCAGTCATACAGCCACACTGTCACCTTTGCTGTCCCCAAACTCTCCATCTCAGCTGCTATTAATTGCCCTGCGAGGAAGCGCCCAGAAAACAGCCCAGGCAAGACCACGGGGACCTAGGACCTGCCTGGTACCCTATGGCCCTGCAAGCCGAAAAGGAGCAAACAGGTGAGAGGGAAATGAAACTCGGCCATCGTTTATTTGGCAGAAAAATAAGAGCAATCTTCCAGAAAAAGCCAGCCTGCAGCATAAAGGTTACTCTGTGAAGCACAAGGAGCCAGAAGTAGAGCCTTCCAGGAAGACTGAATGAAAGCACAGTCTTTAAATATAAATACAAATGTATAAAATTCCCCCCAAAAAAGTCATAGGAAAAGCTGCCATCCTGCTATGCTACAGAAATCCCCTCTGGTGGGACGGCTGCTCATCTCCCCCTCTGGGCTGTGGATCAGCTCCCACACTGGTCCAGGTCCCCGCTAGCATGACCATGGGGCGAGTGAGGACCTGGGTGCTCCCCCACCACTGAGAGCACCCAGCCGGTGCAGGGAGTCCCGGCTGGGGGATCTCTGCGGCAGGCAGGGCAGCGCCGAGGGGGCTGTGGAGCAGACAGCAGCCCCTTCGGCCAGCCTTGTGGCCAGCGGGTGGGTGGGTGGTCTGTGGATGTCCATTGCCGGGCAGTGGGTCAGTCATCGGTGGGGAAGGCATCGGTCCTAAGGAAGGCAAGGAGGGGGCAGTGAGGTGGAAAGGGTCTTAGCAAGAGCACCCACCCAAGCTGGGAGTCCATTGCCTTGTGTGGTGTGGCTTCCCTGTTCCCAAGCATTGCCTTTTCCCTGCAGCTCCCAAAAAAAATCTGCCTTCAAGGCAAGCCCAGACCAGGAGGGTCCTGTGCCCTAAGCACCTCCACGCTCTAGCCACAGCTCTGGCAGCCCTCCCAGGTGTGGCCCCGGGAGCCAGATGCCTGCCCTTCCACGGGGAAGGATCTGGGGATGGAGGGGTAGCACCCTCACCCTGCTGCCCCCCACTCCCCCCGCCTACCTCTTCAGGCCTGACTTAGACCTGCTGCCGCTTCTGCCGCTTGGGTCTGCCCCTGGGACGTGAGGACTGTCCCTTCTTCTTGCCCTTCTTATCATTCTTGACTTTATTGTCCACGTCCTGCATCACCTTCTGGATGGCGGGGTCAGTGGGAGAGGCACAGATTTTCTTGTTCCCCTTCGTGGTAAGACTGGGGGTGCAGGCAGAAAGGTTTGATGAGGGGTGGGCAGGGGGAGGACCTGGAGAGGGAAGGTCTGGCTGGAGCCAGACTGCCCCAAATGGTCCCAACCACAGGAGGATACTTACACGACAGCACGCAGCAGACATCCCGAGTCGGGTCCCTGGAGGCTGTAGGACTTCACCAAGCTGCTGGAGATGGCTTTGCGGCTGTTCTTCAGGCAGCAGTCCGGGGCCGAGCTGCCAATGCCTGGGAGCAAGGGGGACACATGGGCTTTCAGACCCTCACCAAGCCAGGGCACCTTCCCAGCCCCGGGGAGCACAGCACAGCTTGCTCACAGCACCGAGCTTGCTTGGTGCCATTCATGGGAGAGATGCTGGGACACCATGTGAGGATGAGAGCTCTCAAACCTGGTGCCCAGCTGCAGGTCAGACCCTCCCTCAGAGATATGTGACACCAGTTTCACTGCCGACAGAGGGGAAACTGAGGCAGAGATGAGCTCCTTGCGAAGGACTGAGCCTTGTTCTCCTGCCTATGCTTTTAGCTTGGCATGCTGCTGTCCCACTGGCCACGTGCACACATGCATGCTGCTGAGCAAAGCCAGCACAGCCAATGCCACACACCAACCAGGTGCGCACACACACACCCCCACCCCTACACATGACTGCACCAAAAAGCCTACACCCCCAGCCATGCACGCACCCAAATGCACCACAAACACCCCCTGTGCACCGCGATCTCAGCACCCAGCACCCTGCGCAGACCCCACTGAGCACCCGTATCCCCTGTCCCATCCCACTTGTAGGCGGGCAGAAGGGCTTCGCACCCCTCACCTTGAGTCTGGGCGATAAGGAGGGTTGCGGCCAGGGGCGGTGGCAGGAGGAGGCGCAGAGCCATGGTGGCTGCCGTGGGTGCTGAGCTGGGTGAGTCGGGGGAGCAGGATGCACACTGCTGCCTCGTGCCGAGGCTGCTCCTATTTATTCTCTGGATGCTTTGCTTTCATTTTTGTCCAGCCTGGCAGACCGCCCACCAGCCAGCTGGGGGCTGGGTGATGGAGAAGCAGGAGGGTGGGGGCTTCCTGTAAGCCATGAGCCCCCCCCTTTACAGACACGTCCTGTCTTGTTCCCAGCTGCCCATCACGGCATGGGCTGCCAGATGGGGGGCATGCCGGGGACACAGCCCACATCATGGCTAGATGAATTTGTGGGGTACTGTTTCCTACCCAGTCTCACAACCTGCTGCTACCTGCTCTCAGAGGGTCGGGTGTTGCTGCTTTCCTGCTTGTTCCCCAGGCAGGGACCCTGGCGAGTGGCCAAGCCATGAGGGAAGCCAAGGAGTCACTCTGTTTTGCTTCCCAACTCATGCGTTGCTCCAGAGCCAAGCCATCCACCCCACATAGGTGAGAAGGGGCTCAGGGTGACCCTACATCCCAGTCCCCTGAGCTCCCATCCCTGTCCAGGAGCCTCAGGGACCTCCCCAAACAGCTGAACACATCTGTAGGGCTGCGATGTGCAAGGACCAGACTGCAAACAGGACTGGGGGAGATAGCGCAGCACCATATCTCAGTGCTGATACAAAATTGTGGGGAGCTGAGGATGAGCAGGGACCTCAACCATCTGGAGGAGTGGGCTGACGGGAACCTCCTGAGGTTTAATACAGACGAGGTGTGAAGTCCCATGGGCAGGATGGCGTCACCCTGTGCTGCTGGACAGGTTGGGCATGGCTGGCAAGACGGGCTATGCAGAAGTGGACCCAGGGGAGCTGAACAGGAGCCCACAGGGCACCCCTGTGGTGGCAAAGGCCACCCAAAGAGATGGCCACGTGGCTGGACCAAGCCCCGAGCAACCCAGTGTAACACTGGTTCTGCTCTGAGGAGAGGATGGCCAGGGACCTCCACATTTTCATGCAGTCACCAGGGCATGGTCTGGAAGAGACCAAGGATGGAGGTTTCACAACTTTGGGCAAGCTCTTCCAATGCTTGAAATGTTCTCATGTTGAAAACATTTTCCCCCCTATTTAGTTGGAATTTCCCTTGATGCATCCAGTGCCCCTACCTCTCACCCAGAGCACTGGAACAGGCTGCCCAGAGAGGTTGTGGAGTCTCCTTCTCTGGAGACATTCAAAGCCCACCTGGATGCGTTCCTGTGTGATCTGATCTAGGTGTTCCTGCTCCGGCAGGGGGATTGGTCTAGATGATCTTTCGAGGTCCCTTCCAATCTCTAACATTCTGTGATTTTGTGATTTGGGGTGATTCACCCTGCCCCAGAGCCCCTCTGAGAAGATCCAGGCCCTGGCATCTCTCCTGCTCCCCTGGGCAGCCCCCCACCAGCAAGGACTCCCCTTTACTGTCCCATCCCCAGCTTCACCACCCCACCGTTCACAGCCCCTCTTGGCCTGCCCTGGCCTCCAGCTCCTTGGACAGCCCCAGTCCTACTGCCCGTGTCAGCTGTGTCCTGTGAGCCCCAATGGGATGCAGAGCCCCACTGGTGTCTACGCGATGCTGGAGAGGGGCAGCAAGCCCCTTCCCAGACCCCGCTGCCTGTAAGCAGGGGTGCAGCCCCAGGACTTTTCACGGGTTCCTGATAAGGACCCTCATAAATAGTTATCGAGGGCAATGAGTAACTCAGAGGGAGACCAAAGTCCCGGCTGCTGTAGAAAGCAGAGCTGTGATAAGATGCCCGCAGTCTTGCCCGTCCTCAGCAGGGAGGGGGCAATGCTGGAGTGATGGCGGGGGGCTCACCAATAACTGCCCTGCAGCCCTCCCTTGGGCAAGGAGAGCAGCAAGCTGCAGCATCTTGCTGCCTTCCCTGGGGACAAGCTGGGCGCCTGGGGCAGTGTGGGATCCACGGCTGCACTCCTGGGGCTTCCTCCATCACCCACGGAGAAGAGAAACAGAGCTCGGGGGTACCCATGCACCCAGCACGTGGATGGGAGGAGGCAGCTCCCCACACACACATGCAGGACCAAGGTTAGTGTGGCCTTGGGCAGCAGCCCCTGGGCCATGTGGCAGGCAGGGGCCACCATGGCAGGCAGGGGCTACCAGCAGCTGCAGGTCGCCTGTGGGTGCATCTGTCCAGGGTGCCTGGCAGCATGGGGAACTAGTCCCTGGAGGCATCCTGTGTGCTGTCACTCATCCCTCCAACCCCAAAGCACCAGTGGCATCAGGACAGGGCAGGAAAAGGACAGCCATCCTGGCACTTATCGCCTTTCCAGCCCTTACCTCTGCAACCTCTCCAGGCAGCAGTGCCCAGGTGCTCACCTCCACCCTTGTCACAGCTGGAACACTGTCCCTGTGCTGGAAAAGCTGGGGGAGCACTGATCTCATAGCCATCCACCCTGGCTTCTCCCAGAGCCTATGTGGTATCAGGAAAAGTGATGTGGAGGGAGGGGAGACATGTCACAGATCGCCCCCAGCACAGACCAGTCCAGCCCAGGGCTCCCTGTGCTCCCAGAGGAACCCAAGAGATCTCTGCAGTCCCTCTGCAGAGCCCAGATCCCTTCCTTGCCCAGTCCCAGCCACGGCAGCAGGCATTCGGAAAGTCCCTGGCTCTCTGCGTGTTTTCAAGACACCGCAGCAGCATCCTCTAGCCAGAGGCCAGCCCCAAACGTAGCCTGAGATGCTGAGTAGGGTCAGAGCCCACGTTCCCTTCATTGGCACCAGTCTTTGGCAATGCTCTGGTTGCTGTGATTTTTACACCCCAAACAAAGCAGCTGGCTGAGCAGACCCTCGCTACAATCCTTCCAGGGAAGGCGGATTGGACAGGACCCAGGAGGGAACAAATTAAGGACAGGGATACTTGGCCATTGCTTCAGCTGAGCAATGCAGATGCACCTGCATACCTGAGCAGCAGGACCCCACGGAAACCAGCCTGGGGGTCCACGACCCATCTCCCCTCCTGCTGCCCTTCCCTCACCTCCCCCTTCCCCCGTTCACTCCTTCCTCTCCAAGTGTGTTGCTCTGTCACCTGTCACCTCAGCTCAGGAAGAAAGCTGGGAGCTTCCAGCAATGAGAGAGGGGTGAGCATCCCTGTTTGCAGGGGTGTCACAAGGCAGACCAGCCTTTTGGGATACAGAAGCTGCTGGAGGTGGGGGGTGAGGCAAGGCTTTTTATGGCTCTCCAGCACTAGCAGCCTCCAGCAGCTGCTCTAGCCAGGCACAATTTCGTGCACGCACCCAAATAAACCCATTTCTTACCAGCTTGGGCTCCTGCAGCCACTGACCTTTTCCCAGAGCTCAGAGATGCAGGATGGAGACAGAGACAGGGAGGGGGACATAACCAGGCAGGGTGTCCCTCTGCGGTGTCGCAGCTGCAGGGTACTCTTTTCTGGCCCCACGGTCTGTGTCAGGCACCATACAGAGCCTTTGCAACAGGGCTTCATGCAATGGTGCCTCCAGCTACCCTCCTGCTCGGGCAGCCCAGCTCCAGCCCTCCATGCATCCCTATGGTGCAGGGACCTCCAGACTGCAGGAAGAGGGGAGGGTGTCCTAGGCAGAGACTATGATGTCCTTACACACCATGTGTGCAGGAACAGTGGCACCATAGCAAAGATCACTAAACTGCCTTGCCTGTGAGCCCTTCCCAGGCAGTGAAACCACTGTGGCAGCTTGTAGGGACTCACTCAAGCCTCCATCCCAAATGCTTCCTATGTTTGCACCCTGCACCCTGTCACCAGAGCCTGGAGTTTGCCCACAATTTACTTCCCTGGCTTCCAGCATCACAGTTTCCTGGCATCTCACCCTGTAATGCCAGAAGATCCTCTCTCCTCACCCCTCAGCTCTGGGCTGCGCTGCAAAAGCCCCCAGCTCTGTCTCACTTAACTAGACAGCAGGGTCTTCTCCCCAGGTGGCTCGGGGCTGCGAGCAGAGGCTCCTCGGGTACACACACAGACCGAAGGCATCGAGGAGAGCTAAACAGGGGGACTGGGAATTTCCAAAGCCTTCTGGATGCTGCCTCCAAGTTAAAGTCACTACTAACAGGAACAGGGTCGCACAGCTCAGCTTAACCCGCTGACCAGCAAATTCCTTCCAGCAGAGGCCCCGATTCCCAGGACCCACTGCAGAGGTAGTTTGCAAAACCCAGCATGGAAAACCCCCACGGCTGGGAAGGGGAGTGAGCTGCATGCCAGGCACACCATATAGAAACACCGTATAGCAAAACAGTCTTCGGGAAGTGCGAGAGAATTGCTGGAAGCCAGTGGCACACGAGCCCGGCAGGGTCCCTGCTGGCTGCCGCACGGTCCCCCGGCATTCGTTTCGGGATGAGCACAACATGCTGGGAAGGGCAGGGAAGCCAGCTCGTCGGGAGTCCCCTCCCCGCGCACAGGCGCTGGAGCTGGCTGGGCTTGGAGAAGGTCTTCGGCCAGAGAAGTTTGTCCCCTGCCATGGCCCAGGTGGAAATTTGGTTTCTCAGCTGTGTGGGGGTGGAAGGAGTTAACCCTTTGGTTGCTAGCATGACCACAGAGAGGCTCAGCTGCTTTGGGGCAGGACAGGCTCAGTGCTGGAAAATGTGCATGGGGCGGTAGTGAGTGGGCTGAGAGGGACCCGAGCAGATCCTGTGCCCTGGAAAGATGCCCTCTTCCTGCAGCATCCTCTGCGTGGTGTGCAGTGCTGCCCGTAGTGCTCCCTCAGACCCAAAATCAAGGGACAGGGCAGGATCTGTGTTTTGTCTCCCTGTAGAAATCATGTGGCCAGGGTTGCTCAGCTCTCAGCCCTCCTGATCCAGGCATTACCCAACACACAGGATCCTCTGGGCTCAGACTGTTGTGGGTATGCACATTTGTCACTTACGTCACCAGTAAATATTCAGTGCTGAAAGGGGTGATGGCTCAGAGCCTCTGTGGCACTGCAGAGACCTCCACAGGGTGGCCAAGGTTTGTGGTGGAAAGGGGACACAGCAA